TTAACTATATTAAGAAAGAATGCGACACACGTTCGTCGTGTTTAAAGAGACAATTAGATCACGCTGTTGAGATGTATTTCGCGGTGACGGATTTAATCCTGTTAGCAGGTCGCGAAATGACGTGTACGAATGTGAAATTGGCCTCGCCGTGTGATATTTTTGTATGCTGTCTCGGTTTGCCTCGGTTTAATGGGGATTTCGTACAATGCAGAAGATCAGTGGTATTGTTGTTAAAAAATTTCTTAGGGCCAAACAGGCCTGAAAAACACAGCCGAAGCTCCCTATTCGCTATCAGATTATTTTTAGGTAGCAAGATAGGGGCTACCCCTTGATGCCGGCTAAAAATAGCTGGTAAGGCCAATCCAACTCCAATTATCCCATTTAGGTATTTAGGTGACAATCGACTGACCGCCAATTTAGAAATATTCCACACGCTGACAGCCCCGGGGACCTCAACCTGCGTTCTGGACGAATGCAAATAATATATTACAAAGGCATTGCGTAGCTTATACATTCTCGTTACGCACGATATCACAAACTGACGCATAACTGAGAAACTTAACCTAAACCTAACCTAAACCACACGATCGAAATTCATCAAAATGATATTCAACTATGCCGAAATGAGGGAAAAGTTCAGAATAAAATATTATTCCTTTCGCGAAGGATACGAAAAATAGTCTGGCAAAGAATATCGAAAGAGATATCTCAATATGAAGTTTGAAGTTCAAATAGAAATTTAAAATATTCGTCGAACGTGATTCCACGATTACGCGCGACACTTTTTCTCGACCAAATTAACTCTATTTACCTCGACAAAATTAACTGTGTAATTGTTAATTGCAATCGTAATTGTAATATTTAGTTAGTTGTGATTGTAATTGTTGGTTAGTTGTAATTGTACAAGTTATAACTGTTAGTACAAACTATTGGAGCTTCGGAGTACGCCTTGTGGTATGCAACCGGTGTAACGCGGATGTTCGTTTGTGCGCAGAATTACGGGCAGCATGAGGCAACGTAAGACCGGCACTCTTGGCGCCGCGGCGCCTATATCTCCCGAGGAGGAACGATTGAAGTTCCAAGACAACAGGTTCTTGACGACGTTGGTACTCGGCAGAAATAGGTGAGTGCCAGTATTGTTCTCATCTCGTCCGTGCAATTCGACATTTCAT